GTTTTTGCCTCATGTCTTGGGGTGCATTAAGGGCCCAATCGTACCTAACTAATCTAATTGAAAAGAGGTCCAATGTTCATCAATTTGGTGGATCAAGTTGACCTATTCCTTGTGGGATTTGGTCGAAGCACAACTAATAAGGAGAGTCACACTAACATTAAGGCCTTTATGAATTTAAGGTTATGCCATTTGGCCTAACCAATGCCCTTGCCACCTTTAAAGTTTAACGTGTATATAAAATCAGCTAAGGAAGTGTTTCTTTGTATATTTTGATGACATATTGAATTATAGCCCTGATCTAAAGGCAAATCGCTCTCACCTTCGAGTGGTACTAGAGATATTAACGAAGCATGAACTATACGCTAAGTGGATTAAATGCTTATTTGGCAAATCTAAGGCTGAGTTTCTAGGCCATATAATCTCTAAAGAATAAGTATCAACTGATCCTACGAAAATTGAAGCAATGGAAAAACGGCCAAGATCAGTGAAGCAATCGTAGGATATTACAGAAAATTTGTGAAAGGATGCGGGTCTTTAGCCAAACCCTTGACAAATATATTAAAGAAGGACCATTTCCTCTGGTCTGAGGGAGCAGAAGAGGCTTTCAGAGGCTCAAGATAGCTATGAGCACTAAACTAGTACTACCTCTCTCCCCCATTTTGAGCAACCCTTCTATACTGAGATAGATGCAAGTTATCAGGGGATTTGAGGCTGTGATAATGCAGAATAACAGGCTGCTAACCAAATATTTCATGAAATTCACGACTTTTCAACCACATATTTTATCAACTTTTATCAAAATTTAGTAATTAATTTAATTTTAATCTCCACCAAACATGGACATAATTTCATTGACAAAATAATATGCTCTCAAGTAGTCAAAAAGATAACTTTAATCATATTTTTGGCCGAAAGGATATTTTGAGCATTATTGAGTATCAGTTCACTATTGTTGGTCCCTCCTTTGCACGAAATATCCGAAGTGCATATTTATTAAGAAACATAACACAATCCTCACTTACACAGTGGAGGAGGGTAAAAAGGGAAAAAGCCCAAACGACTCTTACATAACAGAAACCATAGATGAATCATGACCGGCTATCATATGTTTCTTTTCATCCGATGAACAAGTGTTCCTTATCGCGGTGAGCTCATATGGTTTTGTATCCGTAGCCAACCATTGCTCGACCGTGAACAATTTTTGGGCACATTTCTGGTGGGCCCCAGTCATCGTCACCTGGACGTAGTTACAATACCACCCGTGGTGCGAGCCGGTTCCATCGGACGTCAAGTTCATTGCACACACGGGCCCGGTCAAACATGGGCCTCTCCCACTAAAGATATCCAAATTCCCTCTCTCAAAATAGTTGTAGCCCGGGCCCATAAGCCCACCCCATGCCTCGAGATTTTTGATCCTGATCCCATATCCGTTAGCATCATAGAGAGTCAAGATAATATTTGAATCAGTCCCGGCCTTCATGATCGATCCGGTCCTCACATACACCGTGTACACACAATCAGCATCTTCCTACATTTTTCACAAATCAAAACCTGATAAGAAAATTACAATTTCTATTTGATACATGCTACTTTATAGGTCTTAACATGTTATACTATTCAAATGACGTACGATAAACACGAATTTGAAACATCTTAGTACTGAACATGTCTAGACTGTATAATAAAGAGATATTTTTCTTATTCAAAATGCATGTAAAACATGTCAAGATTGTATATATTGCTCGAGAAATACGAAAACAAAGTTGATCTAAGGAGAATACTTACAGATCTGCAAATAGTGAAAATGGAGAGAAGGATAAAGAGAGAGAGGACAATGTGGACGAACTTCATGGCTCTTGATAATGAAATGTGAGGTGTGTGTCTATATATATATATATATATATATATATATATAGAGAGAGAGAGAGAGAGAGAGAGAGAGAGTAACATGAGCTGGATTTGGTCTTGTAATAATAATTTATAAATAGAAGGGAAAATAGTAGTAAAGTCCCCAACTTTTAACGCGTGTTTACGATAGTCCTTGACCTTTGAAAAGAAACGTTTATTATACAAACCTTACTATCCAACCCAAGTGCTATTAATACGAAACATTGAGGGCTTTACTAATCTTTTTTGTAAGTTGTTAATCAAGTGCTACTAAGCAGTTCGATACGGTAACAAAGCAAGTAAATGTCATGACACCATCAAGTCTCGTCATCATCTACTATATGAGATTGTGTATGAATCAGACTTTTGATGAGAACAAATGATTCCATTGTACGCATGGGAGACAAGTTGAAACTATATTTGAATAATATGCATGTAACTCACTTGATAAAATTAAAATTTTAAGTTAAATGGTTCAATAAAGTCACAATACACGACAAAGGGTTGGAACCTCGATAGAGAAAGGAGATTGGATCAAAATGTAATATATAATAAATCGATATTGCTAGATTCTTTTAATGTTTTTTTATTATTTTATTCTGGATGTCGTACATGTTCATTTGCACATTTTCATGATAGCAGCAATTCACTTCCATGGCCCACATGTGCAGAGCTTTTTGGGCTGAATTTTTGAATAAAGTTTCTTTTTTGCTTTTTGAAATTAGGACCATGCTGGTGGTACATCAAGATTTACATCAGGGTTTACACCTCTCTCACATGGGGATGGGGTCCACTCGAATAAAAAAACATTATTTCAATGGGTCCCACCTCCCATGTGAGAGAAATGTATCCCTTGATATACAAAATTTGATGTATAAGTAGAATTATCCTTGAAATTATTTCACTCTCTTTTTATTCCAACATAAAAAAAAATAAAATTCAATGGGTTAGGTGGGTGTTTGTTTTGGTTTTATTCCTTTTAATTTAATTTCGTGCAATTCTGTTAACCTGCCAACCCCCCAATCACGCGAAAAAATTATCCTAGTGTGTGTCATTATGTCATGGGTCGTGGTTCCCCCGATGTTTTTGGCATTACAAATACTAGAAAGAAGAAATGCTCATTAATTAATAGGTAACTATACTGTATTAAATAAGTTTTCATTATTATGTACGTTTTGTCTCGAAGGGTCCTACTCAATTATCTTGTGTATTGTGTCGATTGCGAGATTGAAGTCCATTTCGGACTTTTACAATCCCTTAATTTATGAAATATTTATAACTCCAAGAGCTATTGAGGATAAAATCTCAGTTGGAGACATCCAAATTATAATAAAATTTATTAAAATCTCAATTGAAAGCACCTACATTGAGAAGGACTTTAAAAATTAATTAAAACCACTGACACTTAGATCTTGACGAATTATATATACATTGGAAACTTTTGAATTTAAAAAAACTTTAAAATTCATTAAAATCTCAGTTGACGACACCCATGCAACTTAATGCACGATTTATGTCATCTTAGGATAATAAATGACAAAATGTGACATTATATTCTTCAATTATCCCACCCTTAACTTCTTCATACTATTCCCAACAATAAAATAATTGAAAGAATCGATGTTCGTAAATATCTTCCGCGACCTTCATGTCTCTTACGTAGACATGATAAGAGCAAACGAGACCCATCTATTTGCTTCTGGTTCCTGCAGCAATAGGACTTCTAAAAAGTCAATAAGCAAATAAAATTTGATATTTTTGTCAATTTAAATGTGTATGAACAAGCTGACCAGTACAATATCTTCACTTTTTAGGTATTCCATGTATCTAGTAAACGAACAATGCCACTTGGCCAAAGTGATTGATAGGAAATTGGGTGACAGGGTGGGATGACAACAATTGATTGAGTGTGTTTTTTTTAAATCGTCCAATTATATGTCGACACATGTTCCTCGATTTTTTAACTTATCATTGAACCTGTTTGTATAGCATGATTCCTATTAAACATTTATTTTGCATGGCATTTAAAACTACTTGGCAAGGACAATTTGATTGCTCAGTTGTCCATGTCCATGACATGTTGAATGAAGTAAATTACTATCACGTGCGTGTGTAGGGAGGTCCAAAATATATAGATACGGTAATCAACAGCTAGGCGAGCAAATTTACAAATTTACTATAACTTGATATTGTGGGTTAAAACCCCAATTGAAAATGATTGATGCAAAGGAGGGATGTTTAAGCACGAAGAAGCAAAACGAAGTACTTACATGCGAAGTATGTGAGAGAATTAGATTACAAACAGGGGCGGAGATAGGGGTGGGCTGCCCAACCCCAGGTCCTATAAAAAGAATTTTTTTTTTATAAAAGCCCAAATTTTCAACTTTCTAGCCCAATAGCCCACTTTCCAATTCCAACCCAGCCCAATTCCCACATAAAACTAAACCCAGTTACCAAATTCCCACCCAATTAAACCCAATTCCCACATTAAATTAAACCTAAATCCCGACCTAATTGACATAAAATCCCCAATTGAACCAGAGAAGATATCTCTGCCATTGACGATTTCTTCCTGCGAAACTCGACTGTTCGACCGTTCGCCACTTCCAGCTGTAGCCATTGACGATTTCTTTCTGCCAGGCGCCATTAACGATTTCTTTCTGCCGAGCTTCGGCATTTGAGGTGAACCGTGAATCATTTTCATTTTGTTTTTGTTTCTTTTACAGTTTTACTACCTGTCTCCCTCAGATATAAATATATAATCTAATAATCGTATTAATTTTTGGAAATGGATGTTTATTTTGGAGTTGGAAATAGAATGGTCTAAAATCCGAATGGCAGTTTTATTTTGGAGTCGCCGAGTCGGAAATAGACAAATAGTTCGTCAGTTCATGTTCTTGACTTCTTGTAAAGGCGTAGAGCTGTTGAGGGGAATAGTATCTAGTATCTAGGTTTCCTAATAACTGGTCCATCATCATTCATGGGATAATTTAGTACTCAAATCCAAATTGACTATTTCTCAAGACATTTGAATCTAGTCATCCAGCATTCACATCCTTTCCTCCTATATCAAACAGAGAATCAATCAAATCGGAGTTTTTGTCAAAGAAGGCATGAATATCAAGATAGCTATAGGAATAGCAGATAGGAAACTGGTGGTGAAGGACTGGACTATATTAACAAATGTGTCCGAGAATGTTGTAGCAATGTCTAATGCAGCGGCTGGCCTGGTCGATGGGTTGTTTTTAGGTGCTGTATTTGATCAAGATGACAGTCGGCAAGTCGTGCCACTAGGAACATTATGTGATGTTCGCTTCTTGGCATGCTTCAGATTCAACTTATGGTGGATGACTCAGAAAATGGGCAACAAGGGTCGTGATATTCCAATGGAAACACAGTTCTTGCTGTTAGAAACAAAGAATGGATCCTCAGATAATAATGAAATTGTTTATACTGTCGTCCTTCCTTTAGTTGAAGGACCAATTAAAGCTAGTCTTCAGGGGAATGACAAGGATGAGGTAGGGTTGTGTTTAGAGAGTGGGGCTATTAAGACTGTTGGATCGGTGTTTGGGCATTCGGTGTATATAAGTGCCGGTACTGATCCATTCGAGACCATACACGAGGCCATGATGGCTGTGAAGTTGCATCTGGGGACATTCAGGCTAACGCACGAGAAAAAATTACCCGGGATTGTGGATTCTTTTGGGTGGTGTACTGGGATGCTTTCTACGACGAGGTGACTCAGGAAGGGGTCGAGGCCGGCCTCAGAAGTCTCTCAGCTGGTGGAGCTCCTCTCAAGTTCCTCATCATCGATGATGTTGGCAAACAGTTCGACACATTTCTGGCTCCGCCACTGATTATAAAGTTTGGTATAAAGATTTTCACAGGGAAAATGATATATTATTGAAAAAAGATAAGTTAATTTGGACAAATTAGAGTTGTGAAACAAAATTTATGCCCTTTCGAAGTTAGGCTGCCGGAGTAGGGTATGCAATCACCAATTGGGACTTGCAACCACAGCTAGTGGTGGCAAATGGGTCGAGAGGCTCGTCAGCTCGGTTGCTCGGCTCGTGGGCGGCTCGGGACAAGCCCGAGCACGAGATCCTAGTATATATTGTGATTTGATTAAACTCCAAGGTTTCCTTACTTATTAATTGTTTATTTTAGTTTTGATTTTGAAAATTTTCATGAATCTGGGGAAAAATCTAAGGAACTTCTCAGGAAGTGCTCAAGTCTCGAACTCGCAAAGGTTGTACAAACTCATTACTTCTATACCAAGTTGCTTCCATCTAGCCAATCTGCAGTCGATTGAAGATAGATCAATAAAAAAGAAGAACAAGAAGGAAGCATATGAGTTTTTTAAGGTAATGAGTGAACAAAGTGCTAAATTTCCAAATAGGATCACTATAGAAATTAGCAGGGCTATATGAAGTGGAGGAATCAATGCAACTCTAAGTAGCCTGGAGAATCAATTAGGCCAAACAGCAAAGATGCTTCGTGAGTGACCATAAGGCACATTTCCTAGCAACATGAAGTCCGTAGTTATTAAAATTGAACGGGATCAGGTGGTCTGACCAGAAACCTGATGTACCAGACCCGAGGAAGAGTCAAATATTTCTAGAGATTTCGGGAGATGAAAACTACGGACATTTGGTTAGTGTAATGCCAAGGGGGGAACCTTGATGTTTGCTGTTCCATAGCAGGGAAGGTGACTCCTTCCACAACGCGGCGCAGAGGGAAGATTTGTTAGGTTTTTGCTCTATGTCTTGGGGTGGATTAAGGGTCCAATCCTACCTAATTAATCTAATTGAAAAGAGGGCCAATGTTCATCAATTTCGTGGATCAAGTTGGCCTATTCCTTGTGGGATTTGGTCGAAGGCACACTAACTTTAGGGCCTTTATGAATTCAAGGTTATGCCATTTGGCGGGGGCGGACCGGCCCAACCAAAGCCCAGTGCAGGCATCTGCCTGCACTAAGCTTTGGGCCGCCCTAATTTCTTCAACAACCCAATACTTAAAAAAAAAAAAAGTGAGCCAATGAATTTGGCCCAAACAGTATGATAGAAGTGGGAATTACAACATTCTCTACTTTTCAAGATCTATATTCTAAAATCAGATCTGAAGTTTTAATTTTCAAAAATTAGATATTTTTTAATTAGATATATTATAATTATTATCAAATAATAATTATAATTAGAGCTGCTGAGGCCGTTTGAGGGGAGCATGTCTCGCTCTTTGGATGATTTGATGTATACAGTATATTACTAAATACTAAGGTGAGAGTTTGTCTGTTTCTTCTTCTTCAATTTTCGGAGGAGAGAATTTTGAAAATCTTGGGGAAAATTTTGAAACCAAGTCACCACTCACCAGTGCACTATAGGAGAGGAAAAATTAAGCCTTAATTTTTTTGGTGATGGATTTTGATTCTCTTTCAATGCGGCACTTGTGATGATAAGAACAGTGAAGATTGTGTAGAAGATGAAGCTGTTATCCATGGCCTTGAAGAACTTCACTTTCTCTCCGTAAAACACTTTGATTTCTCTCTTTATGATGGTTTTTTTGGGACTGTGAGATTAACTTAGGAGGTGGATTTGTGCTGTATTTTATTGTTCTGTGGAATCTTAAAGTAGAAGCAAAGGGCCAAAGGGTGGAATTAATGAATAATGAGCACTTACTAATTTATCTAGACGTAACAACTTATCACGATTTCATATTTTATTTTCATTCTCATTTTTCTACAGTACTCATTTCTAACCACACATTCTCCAAATAAAATAATATTACACATAAATCCAAAAATTCTTCTTACTTTTTAATCACACGTTCTTTACATCAATCATTATTCAAAAACTCATTATTCAAAAGAATGGGTGCCAAACACCCACTTAGATGGAATTGACCTAACATAGCTTCATGAATCATGAGGAATGACTTCTACAATGGACAAAATCAAAAGCACCCGTCAAACATACTCATATAAGTGTTCTATTAAGCTTCTTTTTTGTTACATATCCCACCTTGTGCGGAGCCTTCTTTACTATTACATTTTCGCATAGAGCCACGAGGATATTATAGAGAGCTGCATGTCCACGTTGCCGAAAATAAACGGATAGACTTTACGTCTCTAATAAGTTAAAATCAAATTTATTATATTATGCAGTATTGAGTATTAATATGCACCTAAAATATATTTTAGTTTATGTTATGCATGAACATTACTTGAGTGTGAAACAAACAAGAGTTTAATTTCTTCTATTTTTTCTAACACGGTCTCGTATCGTATAGTTTATATTAACCAAGCCATTAAGATGCTTAATTTTCATTCATTCACTCCCCTTTAGCCTCAAATTGTACACTTTTCTTGGTATACAAAGAATGTCCACTACTCAAGGTAAAAATAAACTCTATTTTTTCTTTCTTAATACAGAATGTAGTGAGTGGCACAGAGAAGGTAAAGTACATGACATTGCTCATCTTTGAAGTATTCTTCGTGGCCCAAAAGGCCTTTTCAGAGTTACTTTCTCCTCATATTTTGGCAATCTGAATTTTTCTTTGCTTGCTGAGAAGAAAGAATAAGAATATTGAATTGGTTAGACTTTTGGGGTGGAATTCTAACCTCCATATTCTAGCATTCAAGAGAGGACCCGAAAAAGTAAAGTTACATCCATAAACATACTTGAACAACTACTTATTTTAAGTAAAAAAAAAAAGTTACTCCGTCCTAAAGTAACTCTCATCTTATTGTCATTCATATTCTTATCATCCATAATACTTACAAAGAATGTCCTTAATAATTTGAAAAAATCTGTTTATATTTTATGTTCGACTCACTCCTTACGTGCATACCGTGTTCTTTTTCACTAAAGGTTTCTCATTTAGTTTTTTCATAATTGAATAGTTATAAGACTCAAATATAGAATGTTTACCGGCGCTCTAAAATCACTTTGAATTTAAATTTATAAATAAAGAAAAAATTTTACTTGTTTATAATTTAAGTGAAGAGTCAAAATCCCTTTTTAATACTTGAATGAAGTCATTTGAACCTTTTCAATAAATTAAACAGTAAACCTAGAGCCAATTGATCAAATTATGACCTGATACATTTGATTGACATCAGAGAGAAAGCATTGACAATCCAAATGAAACAAAATTGAGCAGATAACATTTATAATATCAATACAAAACAATAGTTTTAATCTTTTCTTCAGGGGCAAATGTCCCATTAGAATGACAATTTAGGCATTTTCTTGGCTCTTGGGAAACTTAAAAGGTTACACCTCTTGTGTAGTGTGTTTGGGTTCTCATATAATCGTACTTATTTTAAGAATATATTTGTAAAATGCACAAACAACCATCTATAGTTGACTGAACTCTCGACCTCGGGTGTCTTGTCGTAAGGGCTACTGTGATTCTTCGATCATTGACATCTCTCGTTCAACCTTTATTAGTGATAGTCGAGGTATGTTGCTGGCTTCGGCTATGGCAGCCATGTCTGTTCTAGATTGTCGACCAAGCTAGAGATGCGAACTTGGTTATGGTGTTGGGCTTTGACTTGCAGCATTACTTAAATCAAATTGATTATCGTGTTAGACCAAGCTAGAGATTCCAACTTTCTATGGCATATTTTCAGTGCATCACGGCTTAAGAAGCAATGTGGCTCTATCATTTATTAAACTGACTATATCTTTTGTCCGTTTATCAGAGCACCTTCTACTTCTAATGTGCCATGAACTATATTTGAAGCATTTTGAACAAATTCATAAGAAGTGATCCCATTTTTCATTGGGTTTGTGTAGAGACCAATGATCTTAAACGACTCATCCAACGATACAACTCAAAAGATACAGAATCATCGTTAATTTCTTCGTGATTGTTCCAAGTTCAAAGTACCATTTCGTATATCATTCGTTATATTCATATAGATAGATATAAGATCTATGGGGCATTACTTAAATCAAATAATTTCCATGGTATATTTCCCTTTCCTTTTCTCAGTGCATTAACTGTTAAATACAATTTTATACGATGACGCAAAAATGGCCAATTTCTTTAACTCATCAACTGATAGGCTCTTGTTTTGAATTTGCTGGAACTCAATGGTCTATAACCAGGGAGAGAATAATTTATTGTAATCACAAACTAGCATAGAGGAGAACAATTCATTCTACTTGCCAGATAACATGTTAGCATTGTATATTATTCACATTCGATTGAACTTAAGGATTCATAGTTCTAATTTCGTTGATTTATCATTTTATCAAACTCGTTGAGCAGCATCATCTATGCTCGGGTGAAGACCATTCATTTTTTTTGCGTGCAAAATTTTCGTAAAAAGATAACACTGAGATTTGCTGCAAGAACAATTTGCTGCAAGAACACTAAAAATTCGGAGCTACTACAAAACACACCATGATTTATTATACACAGAAACTGAAATACATTCATAGACTTCAATTACATTCAAGAGATGCACAGTGTCTCCTCTCATCAGGCTGGAAATAAAAAGCACCAGCTGATCAAGATGAAGAGATTTTAGACTATACATTATAACATAAACTATTCCACACCCAGAAGGGCCTTTGCACATGTCAAAAACTTCATTGCGAAGGCCTCAATTAACACCAAACTAAAACCAAATTTCACATAAAAACCAAGCAAACTAAAGAAAATAATGAAAACATAAGTACTATTTTATAAGGCTGCCCAGTCTATCTCCACCGAAGGGTGCTTCTGCAACATAAAGTTATCAAATTCATCAAATGATGGCTCGGAGAAATCCAGAAAGGTGATATCGGATTCAGGTGATGCTGACCCTTCATCCACTGGGAACGCTGATGATGAGGCCCCCTCAACCAGGATACTGTCAACCCCAAAGCCTCCATTTAATGGCTCATTCAAAACATTTTTCGTCTTCTTGTTGCCTGTTTGTTTTAAAATTTTATTCTTTTGATTCGAAACAGAACGGGCTTTCCCCAGATTCTTCCCCTGCTTCGGTGAATTAGCCAAGTTTTCACAAATGGCTTGAAGTTTTGCATCAACAGAGGAATGCAGCAACTTGAATCCACATAACTGATGCCTAAGATTAGGAAAATTGAGCCTCGCAGACTCTCCTCTCAGTTTATATGCAGCCTTATCATAAGCCAAGGCAGCCTCTTCAGACGTGTCAAAAGTTCCAAGCCACAGCCGGGATCTATTCCTCGGAAGTCTAATTTCAGCTACCCATTTGCCCCAATGCCTCTGTCTTACTCCCCGGTAAAGCTTTGCAGCCTTCATGGGAATCACAGCTTTCTTCATAGGGACATGTTTTGGGCTAAGAAACCGCATAAATGAGTTGCCCTGAGGCATCAATTGCCGCTGTTCGAATTGGAATTGAGCCTGGAATTGCATAAACTGTGATGGGGTGAGGCGATTAAGATCACCCTTTTGGTTAAAACTTGAAAAAACTGGAGAAAACATCTGGGGTTTGGACGGGATTGAGACAAAATCAGGATTCAAATTGGACTCGGAACAGATTGAAGAACAAGAAGATCCAAAAGGGTAAAAGTTAGAAGAATAAGTAGAAGAAATTGAGGGATTTGGTGAAGCACTTTCCATAAAAGAATCAAGTACTTGAATAAACTCCTCACTTAACAGATCTGATGAGAAAATATGACTGCCACTAGAATTGTATGTATCTGTATCTATAACAGCTGCCATGATATTTTCTCAAATTTATACAAGAAAATGAAACAAATCTGAAAACTAGCAAGCTTCCTGCACAATCAAAGAATCAAAGAGGCTTCAAATAAACACCCCGTTTGATGCCCTTGAATCTATTAATCTAAATTAATTCAAGAACCCTAAATCAACCCAAAAGGCATAGAAAAGAAAACCCTTTTAGTTGTTTTGATCAAACAAAAACTGTATTAACAAAAGAAAAGAGAAATTAAGATTATAGTGATCTTTATTCAGAATCACCTGGCTTTCAAGAACACGCCGGTCTTCTGGGATTTGTTTCTGATATGAATTTTTTTTTTGAACAAAATCAAACCCTGAAAAATTTGATCAAATTTTGAAAGACAGATAATTACAGAATGGGATCCAAGAAGAGGGGTGTTAAGAAAAAAGGGGGAAAATCAAAGAAAATGACATGAAAAATGCTAATCAACACAAAAAGTTCTGATTTTGAAGTGTTTTTTTTTTTTTTTCACTCTTTCAAATGGCAGTGACACTACAAATGTGCATATAAAGACCTAGGCCCTAGGCTTTGGCTCTCTCTCTCTCTCTCAATCAATTTGACTTTCTCTCTCTAACTCCTTCCTCACCGCCCTAATGCAACTTTATCTATATCAACCAATAGAAAGCCGACACGTAAGGTATTAACAAATTTAGTGACTGGCAGGTGTCGTAATTTTGTATAGTGGGTTCTACACGTGGCAGTTATACATTGGGTTGTAGAGTTTGGTCTACTGATCGTAGGTACTTTTTGATAGTGTCAAAATGATGATAAATATGACTTTTTTTATATTGATTTTTTTTACATATATATTAGCAGCCGTGTTTTGGAAATGAATAATGCTACGTATACATTCAATGATGTACATAATGCATTACATCCTCCTCACATGAAGGGGGGCCACACATGTTTTATTGTGTGCGGATTCCCCTCCATGTGGAGGGGTGTATACCATTGTGTACACATAGCACAACTCTTTTGAAATGGACATGTCAAACCCTCTAGCTGCTACATGAATCTAGCCCCTACTTGATATACATTTTTTTTTAATTCATGTTCAACGATACATTTTTAAATAAAATAATATTTTTCATCATATCAATAACTTTTCATTGTTTTTTCACCACATATTTCTCGTCATATCACTATTTACAATACATTATTTTCTTAATAATATCCACCAAACACACCCTAACTTATTAACTATTCATCGCAATAGCCTTTTCAACATTATAAGAAAAAAACCCTTCATTTCAAATTTTAAAAGGATTTTTTTCGCAAATGTCTAAAGGGCTTGTTTCCAAACCTTGTAGACGATTTCTGGGGAGTCTCACTGGGTGGTATGTTTTTCGACCCTCACAAACAAGGCCCGTAACAGACCACCCAAAAGGGGTCTGGGAGGTTCTAACAAACCATCCAGACCCCTTTAACAAATTAGAGATTTGTTATTACTTTTTTATCGATTTGGATTTCTTAAACGTAATAAAAAAAATTTGTTTAAATTTTGAACATTAAAGCTAAAACATATATTAGCCATCAATATTATAAGCAAAAAAATTAGAATTTAACCAAATAAAATGAAGAAACCTTAAATATGGAGATGGGGATAGATGAAAAAACCTTGAAGAATGGAGATGAAGATGATGAAGAAACCTTGAAGAATCGATTTATAGTAGGAGAGATTTTCAAATTTATAAGATTTTTCAAATTTTCAATGTTCAAAATGGGGGTAAAATGAGTGTTGTGATTTTTTTAATTTTTTTTTTTACTTTTGTTTTTTACTCAAATATGTCAAAGACCTTTGTGGAAAAGTGAACGGGTCAATCGACTATCTACCATCATTTCCTCATATATTATTAGCTTAGTGCAAAATTTTTTTGTCCTACCATTAATCCGCCCCTATATACAACCGAATAATTATGCTCTACCCGGCCTGTAAAATGCCCGGTAGAGCAGTTACTCTCATAAGAGGTGGGTCCTCTTATTAAACCTCCCCCCCGCCAAAATGTTAAACACCTATCCCCCCATCTCACATTTGCTCTGGCCTGGCAAAGCAGCTTTGTCCATAAACAACCCTATGAATAATTGAGTTAGAAATGTATAAAAAAAATTATGATAGATATTTAGTATTTGTAGAATACTTTTATTTATCCTGAGCTGGATAGTGGTGACTATAAAGGTTAATGAGTCATTACCTATTAAAAAGAGTATGTTTTATTCATATTCAACGCTTTTCAAAAGTTCTTTTAGTCTTCCATACCAACAAGCGTCAAGAGATATTTGAGTTCCTAGTGACATAGTTCCCTCAATACTTAAATTAGAAACTTAAGTCTATTGAACTCAGTCACACTTTGATTGAGAGAGTCGAGCTTGGGATCTCGCCTCATTTAACACCCCTAAACACACGTCATCTACTTGTGGAAATTATCTTCGCCTTCATTATTTCCATTTACTATATATAGATAAGTTTTATATGTCAAGATTTTCTGTGACCTTATCCCAAAGTCACCATCTAGCAAGCATGGATAAAAAATGGACATCAACCTAACTAGAAAAATATCCAATAAAAAAAAACTATAAGACTGCTGCTACACGGAAATGAAACGTTAATCTAACATAGGATATGCCATAAAAAATTTCTTGTCGTCTATCTTGTTTTACTTTGATTAAATTTTGCTGGCATTTAGGGGTTTATACCTTCTAAAAATGAATAACGTTTCTTTTTAAATACCGTTGATGATTATTCAAAGTGTACTTGTATTTATTTAATGAAACATAAATATGAAACCTTTAACATGTTAATTCATTTTTCTAAATTTAATCAATTGTAAATTCAACCAAAAAATGGCTTGTATCAGCTCTGGTAATGGAGAAATTTTAAATCCTCGACTTCAAACCATTCGTTTAGAAAATGGATCTGAATTTCTTTCTAAACAAATTCAAACATGGTTTGATGACAAAGGAATTTTTCACCAACGTAGTTGCGTTGTGACCCCTCAACAAATGACATTGTAGAATGGAAGCATTGACATCTACTTGATGTTGCTAGAGTTCTACGATTTCAAGCAAATTTGCCTCTTTCTTTTTGGGACGAATGTATTCTCACTGTTGCCTTTCTTATTAAAAAACTTTCAACTCTAATCCTTAAATATAAACCACCTCATCAAGTTTTACTTGGAACTGTCCATCATATTCATCTCTTTGAGTTTTCGGATGTTTACGTTTTGCTAAAAAATATGAATATTCAACATAAATTTGATAAGCGAGCTATACCTGGTATTTTTGTTGACTATCTATTGGGTCACATGAAGGATTGTAATCATATTTCATTCTCAAGTGATTTTTTTACTAGCAAATTATTTTTCTTTGTCCAGTCTAAGGCAGTCTCATCGTGTCTTTCTAACTAATATCATTAAAAATCAAGAACGCAACCTTTTTCTCAAGCCATGAAATCTAATGAATCGCGTGATGCCATGCCCAAAGAAATTTAGGCTCTTGACTCAAATAACACTTGGTCTTAGGCTCACTTCCCAAAGGAAAATACCTATTGGATTTAGGGTGGTGCTATGTGTACATTATGGATCCCTTTATGGATCTCTTAATGTACACATAGAATAATCCTTGGATTTAAATGAGTCTACTAAATTATACATCAGCCTGCTATTTCTATTGAGAGATATAAAGCTCGTTTAGTTGCTAAATGTTATGCTCAAGTTGAAGGCATCGATTATCATGATACCTTTGTACCTTTGGCCTAACTAGTTATTGTTCATTTTCTTCTCTCCATTGCTGGCATTAAAAATTGGTCGTTACATCAACTTGATGTCAATTACGCTTTTCTCCAAGGAGATCTCAGTGAAGAACTTTATATGAAACTCCCTTCCGAATTTTTTGGTAAAAGGTAGACTCGTATATTCAAATTAAATAAATCTACCTATAGCCTTAAACAGGCTTCTTGTCAATGGTTCACCAATCTATAGCCTTATTCTTTGAGGTTTTCATCAATCTATTTCAAACGATGGTCTTTTTACTTATATTCGTACTCAGACTTCTATTTTTATTCTCATCTATTTTGATAACATCATTATCACTGGAAACAATGATGATGTCATCATTGACATAAAAGCAATTTCTTGCTCAATCTTTCTCAATAAAAGATCTTGGCAACTTCGATATTTTTTAGGTATTGAAGTATCTTGCTCTAAGCAAGGATTTTTCTTCGTCAACAAAAATATACTCTAGACATATTGTCTGATAATGGTATTATTGGTTCTCGATCATCAGATTTTCCTATGGAGCAACATTTTCATTTACGACCAAAAGATGGTACTCCTCTTTTTAATATGGTAATCTATTTTCGACTCGTAGGTCGTCTTTTATGTCTTATTGTAACGTAACCTGATATTCAATATGTTGTAAATACTCCCAGTTAATTCATACAATCTCCATATTCATCCCATCTTGATGCTGCCAATCGGGTTCTTCATTATCTTAAAGGTAGCATTGGTAAAAGTTTATTCCTTTCTGCATCTAGTTCTCTTACTTTAGTCGGATATATGCCGACTTTGATTTGGCCGGCTGTTCGAAAACTCATCGCTTCACTACTGGTTATTTTACCATGTTAGGTTCTAGTCCTATTTCTTGAAATACCAAGAAACAACCAACAGTTTCTTGTTCCTCTGCAGAAGCAGTATATCGTTCCCTTGCTGCACTTACTTCTGAGTCGAAATGGTTAAAATATCTTCGCTTGAATCTTGGTATTAATCATCGAGAACCAATTATAGTTCATTGTGATAGCCAAGCTGCCATTCACATTGTTGAAAACCCAGTATTCCACGAACGCACCAAAGATATTGAAATTGACAGTCATTTTGTTTGAGAAAAGATTTAAGTAGGCGACTAAATACCATATCCAACTTGAGGGGGGTATTGGACGAATATAATATCTTATCTTTTATTTTTTAGTTATTGTAACATAGTT